CCATAGTGATTTACAATATTTTACGGTATTTTAGAGTATTTTACAGAATTTTAAAGAATTTTACAGAATTTTACAGAATTTTACAGAATTTTACAGAATTTTACAGAATTTTACAATATTTTACAGCATTTTACACTGTTTTACAGTATTTTACAGAACTTTATAGTATTTCACAGTATTTTACAGAACTTTATAGTATTTCAAAGTATTTTACATTATTTTACATTATTTTACATTATTTTACATTATTTTACATTATTTATTTTACATTATTTATTTTACATTATTTTACATTATTTTACATTATTTTACATTATTTTACATTATTTTACATTATTTTACATTATTTTACATTATTGTACATTATTTTACATTATTTTACATTATTTATTTTACATTATTTTACATTATTTTACATTATTTTACATTATTTTACATTATTTTACATTATTTTACATTATTTTACATTATTTTACATTATTTTACATTATTTTACATTATTTTACATTATTTTACATTATTTTACATTATTTTACATTATTTTACATTATTTATTTTACATTATTTTACATTATTTTACATTATTTTACATTATTTTACATTATTTTACATTATTTTACATTATTTTACATAATTTTACATTATTTTACATTATTTTACATAATTTTACATTATTTTACATTATTTTACATTATTTTACATTATTTTACATTATTTTACATTATTTTACATTATTTTACATTATTTTACATTATTTTACTTTCTTTTACATTATTTTACATTATTTTACATTATTTTACATTATTTTACATTATTTTACATTATTTTACATTATTTTACATTATTTTACATTATTTTACATTATTTTACATTATTTTACATTATTTTACATTATTTTACATTATTTTACATTATTTTACATTATTTTACATTATTTTACATTATTTTACATTATTTTACATTATTTTACATTATTTTACATTATTTTACATTATTTTACATTATTTTACATTATTTTACATTATTTTACATTATTTTACATTATTTTACATTATTTTACATTATTTTACATTATTTTACATTATTTTACATTATTTTAGATTATTTTACATTATTTTACAATATTTTACAATATTTTACATTATTTTACATTATTTTACATTATTTTACATTATTTTACATTATTTTACATTATTATACATTATTTTACATTATTTTACATTATTTTACATTATTTTACATTATTTTACATTATTTTACATTATTTTACATTATTTTACATTATTTTACATTATTTTACATTATTTTACATTATTTTACATTATTTTACATTATTTTACATTATTTTACATTATTTTACATTATTTTACATTATTTTACATTATTTTACATTATTTTACATTATTTGACATTATTTTACATAATTTTACATTATTTTACATTATTTTACATTATTTTACATTATTTTACATTATTTTACATTATTTTACATTATTTTACAATATTTTACATTATTTTACATTATTTTACATTATTTTACATTATTTTACATTATTTTACATTATTTTACATTATTTTACATTATTTTACATTATTTTACATTATTTTACATTATTTTACATTATTTTACATTATTTTACATTATTTTACATTATTTTACATTATTTTACATTATTTTACATTATTTTACATTATTTTATATTATTTTACATTATTTTACATTATTTTACATTATTTTACATTATTTTACATTATTTTAAATTTTTTTACATTATTTTACATTATTTTACATTATTTTACATTATTTTACATTATTTTACATTATTTTAGATTATTTTACATTATTTTACATTATTTTACATTATTTTACATTATTTTACATTATTTTACATTATTTTACATTATTTTACATTATTTTACATTATTTTACATTATTTTACATTATTTTACATTATTTTACATTATTTTACATTATTTTACATTATTTTACAATATTTTACATTATTTTACATTATTTTACATTATTTTACATTATTTTACAATATTTTACATTATTTTACATTATTTTACATTATTTTACAATATTTTACATTATTTTACATTATTTTACATTATTTTACATTATTTTACATTATTTTACATTATTTTACATTATTTTACATTATTTTACATTATTTTACATTATTTTACATTATTTTACATTATTTTACATTATTTTACATTATTTTACATTATTTTACATTAGTTTACATTAGTTTACATTATTTTACATTATTTTACATTATTTTACATTATTTTACATTATTTTACATTATTTTACAATATTTTACATTATTTTACATTATTTTACAGTATTTACAGTATTTTACAGTATTTTGCAGTATTTACAGTATTTTACAGTACTGTAAAGTACTCTAAATTACCCTAAAGTACTCATAATAATCTACAGTGCTCTGCTGTATTTTAAAGAACCAATAATTGCCGAAATATCCAGGAAAGAATTTCTGTTTCTTCCGTTTTATTCGAACACAAGCTTTCTGCTCGTTTTGGTTTCAATTATTTGGCGCCATCGAAAAATCGTCGAAATTCTTATAAACGACGACTGCATTCCGCATCTCATGAACCGTTTAAAATAGATCAGCCGTGACCTACTGTGATTAATTAATTGTTGTCTTACCAGACCAGATCTTAAAGGGAAAGGTGTATGTATACAATTTAAGTTTGTCGGATTTCTGTTAAAATTTGTCAACCGGCTGTGATTCGACGTTGCACATTAATTTGTAGATTCTATGAAGTCTATTTTTGTTTGGATTATATTTTAAGCGAAAGAATAATAGTCCAGTTAAGAAAAGCTTAAAAATGGGTTGTTGACAGACCTTTGTTCGAATTTTTTGACTTTTGAGTTATGTTTTAAGGTATTTAGATATAAATATACCAAGAGTTCTGGAGTTTTCGAGATGATTAATTCTAGCAAAAACTTATTTTAATCTAAGTACAATGGTTTAGAAGGTACGAAACATCAACATTTTCAAGCATGTTGGTGTGAAACGGCTTATGTCTAGAATACAGTTGACCATAAGAAATATTAATTGGAACCATTTTACGGTAAATTTTTTCATCTATAAATTGCAATTTTGATTTAAAAATGTGTATTCAGCGCGGCGCGTAACGAACAAGATATGTTTTTAATTATTGAAATTCATTGAAATAATGCGTAATAAATACTGTTCCAACGACGCCTATGTAAGTCTTGTTTGAAGTGTTGTAGCTCCGTTTTTTCTCACATTTTAGCGCGAAACAATTTCGCGCACGTCAAATTTGCTGTGACAAACTTAACTCATTATAAGGAGTTAAGTTAGCATTTTTACAAAAAAAAGAGTGAAACAAATGAACGCGTAACAAAATATGCCAGTACTATAATTAAAATAAAAAAAAACTAATTTACCTAACCTTGGCGGCCTGGAGCCATATAGAGCACCTCGCTATGGCTATTAGAATATTGAAATATTTAGACACGCGCTTTTATGTCCTACCCTATTTTATCGTGCGCTATTTTGTCCTTGCGCTATTTTGTCCTTGCGATATTTTGTCCTTGCGCCATTTTGTCCTTGCGGTATTTTGTCTTGTGTTATTTTGTCCTTGCGCTATTTGTCCTGCGCTATTTTGTCCTACGATATTTTGTCTGAGCAATTTTGTCTTGCGTTGTTGTGTCATGGAGCCGAAAAAAATATAATTGTTGGTTATAAACAGGTAAGGTTAGATTTAGTCTACAATGCTATTCTTACTCTTTGCCAGTTCAGTGTATAAGGTTACTTTCACTTCCATGCAGAGCCTATACACGTAGTGGGATCATTGTGGAAGCCTATCACATAAAGGTTGCCAATGGCGCATCCAGAGTTTATGTCTGGGAGGTAGTGGTAATAAAGTTTAAATCTGGGGGTAGTGGTCAGTGGTGGCTTGTAATAAAAATATTGAGGATTCACAATGACAGAATATAGATCTTAGTATAGATATAGGTAAAAAGCTTTCAGTGTTTTAGAAAGGTATATTATAAACAATGAAAGTTTTTACCTAAATCTGTACTATATTTCGTCATTGTTAACCCTCATATTTTGGTCAAGAGCTGCCACTGTCTCAATAGTATGTTTTCCCAATGATACGTAAATGTCGCATGTATGCCAGAGCATCTTGCTCCCTCGTTTCTTTTAGATCAATTCGTATACCACATTGCGACCTTTAGGCAATTATTTATCTATGCTGATTTACCGTATTCCAGTTGCAGTCGATCTGGAAGAGTTTGTTAAAGGCTAGGCTGGATGTCATGTGATCTGATTTCATATTTAGTATGGAATCATTAACCTCATGTGTTATTCTGTTTTAATTTTCTCAATGGACATGACTAGTTCAAGAACTGGGAGGTTTAGAATTATTTTGATAGAGGCTGTCGGTGTACTTCTCAATGCTCCTGAAAGAATGTATGTACAAGACACGCTCTGTGGAGCGAGCGGACATAATAGCTTCACCTGAGCATTTACTATAGGGGTGGTAGAAGGTGACCTTTCAAAAATGGGGGCATATAGACACTTCTAGGCTACGTTATTAACTTGCAGTACTTACAGACTATTCCAAGATACCTCTTTCTGACTTGTCAGCCATTAGGCTTTTTGACGAGCTAAGAAGCAGGTCATATGTGTCTCTGTAGGATGCACATTGGGTAGGCTTAAGTGATGTGAGAAAACATACCATTCTCCACCTTACATATACAGAAGTACAATATTTTTAAATTTTAGTGAAAATAAATACTTAATGGGCCCAAAAATAAACAAAACAGGAAGGAACCATCACAGCACAGCTCCCCGTAAATTTCATACCTAAATAAAAATTTGCTTAATTATAAATCTAAATTTTATTTTAATAAATAGGTACAATCTATACTGCCATATACAGGGTCAGTCATAAGTAATAGGCCAAATTGTAACTGTACATCCAGAAGGCAAAAATAATATTTGTAGATCAGAAAATTGGAAAAATAAAATATATTTTTATTAATAAATCAGCTATGTTTGCAGATACAATCCTGAAAATTTGGAGTGCGCTATTTTTTAACAACACGATAATTTTATCAGATATGAGTTAACTCATAGATGTCGTCACATACGCTATATTGAACAAAAGAAATCAAATATAAATGTTTAAATAAAATTTTAATCGCGTGTTCTTATATCTAAAATAGTATACCGGATGTTTTAAATCGTTTTGTTTTTAAGAATTTTGTTCAATATTAAACTTTGTGCTTACTAGCAACATTAAATATCTCGAAAACAGGTAATATTTTGAAGATCAAAGAAGTATAACTTTTTTATGAGTACAAAAATGAGCTTTTCGTAAGTTGTAAATGAGTGACAACAAAAGTATAGCAGATATCTTTTGTTTAATATGGCGACATCTACAAGTTTACTCAAATCTAATAACAAATTATTGTTGATTTAGGCCTTTATCTAGAAAATGGCTGATTTACTAACGAAAATATACTTTATTTTCCAATAGCTTAGGAAGGAGCGATCTTTGACGCATTATTGTTAAGTAAAATATTATTATTGCCGTCTAAATGTACCGTTGCAATTTGGCTTATTACTTATGACTCATCCTGTATAAAAATTATTCATGATCTTCCGAACCACGTTTAAGGTGAACCTGACTTCCCACCTGCTGAGATAATGATCCTTTCTTCTCTATTGACAACCTCCTCTTCTCCTCCACTTTATCTTCGTTTTCTTTCTCGTGTTCGCTGACTATCTTTAAAATATGATCGATGCAAATATCATAAGGACCGTTTTTGCCGGGAATTTCCAGTACCACAGGCATTAACTTTTTGATTTGATGGTGGTGAACGATTCGATGGATCAAATCAGCTGCTTCGCGTTGTATCAACAGAATCCCGATGTCTGTACGATTAATGAACCTATTAAAAGCATAAATGAAAAAGGGTATCCAACTATTCTAAAGTGGTTATCTTAAAGGTAAGACAATGACTTAAAATTAATGCTGCATAAATACATTTTATTGACAAGTTAAATGACGACTTTCACTTGGCCTACCCTTCATCCATTTGGCTAGTGAATTTCCACTCCATAAAATTAGGGGTGAACCAATGGATAAGGCATTTAGTCAACATACATTTTTTATTCGAACTATTTCTTTTGATTTCTCAGCATGGTATTTTTGTTAACCTCACCATCAATCCAAGTTAGCTGATTATACCTATAGAGATTATTTTCAAACGATTATCCCACTCATTATTCACCTACAGAGAACAAGCGCGAATAGTCGTTAGAACTGTTAAGCAATAATTCCTGATGGCGAAGAATATTGTTGGTCTTTAAAAAATATCAACAAAGAAAACTTGTGTCCTATATCCAAACAATGATTATTGGAATGTCCCACCTTGCTAAATAGTCATTATTATTTTCTTTAAATTATTATTGGTTTATTATTAAGATTAAAAGTTTTTCGACTGCTTTATGTAAGCCATTTTATATCTAATAACTTAGTTCTCCCATATTTCGGGAGGGTGGAGTTCCTTGTGGCATACAATTAGTTTTGAAGATGGCGCAATGTTGAAAGCGCGAGATTTTATTTGATTTTTCTTGCATATTTAGTTATATTCAGTACAAATTATTTTTGGATAAATTGTTTTTCGACAAATTGTTTTTCGACAAATTGTTTTTACAAATTGTTTTTGGATAAATTATTTTTGGACGGTTAACTTATGGATTATTTACTCTAATATACGATTTTTCTTTTCGGCATAAGAGCCATCATCGGGCTCTAAAGATAAATAGTTGAGTACAAAATATTAAAGTAGAGAATGATACTGACTATCATTAAAGTAATTAATCCTTACATGATATAACAGTATAAAAGATCACTAGATTCATCAAATTATTATTATAAGCAGCAGGTGCGGTTTCTCCAGTTAAATTTCATAAAAACACATTATTTTAATATTACATAAATAACATATAAATTTAATTTTAATATTTTTATTTTCATACGTGTTAATCTATATCTTTTGTACATCATTGTCCTCTGGCTGATCGCGTCTCTGTGTCACAATATACCTAAGTATACTGTGTCTGTGGCGCATTATGATGAGTGAGCCTTACACGAGTGAGAAGATATGCCGAATGCATATAGCTAAAAAGAGAAGACAACACGCCAACAGATCCTTCAAACTGTCAAATAACACATTAATTGGCGCGTAGCTCACAAACAAGATTGCCAAACCAGTGTTGCCAGTTTAGTACAATTCACAAATAGCTACATTCGTTTGATCTGTCTACAGGCACAGCATAATTTTGTAAATAACCATAGGAATAGAGTAAGGGTTATATTTTAATATTTATCGTTCCATTTCTTTTATTTTGCATAATAATTATTTTTCATTAATTATATTTGACCATAAATATGAGACACGAAAAACTGGGCTAAACACTAGTTCTTTTTAGTCTTAATAGGTTGGCAACATTTTTCGTTAGAAATTTGTCAGTTCTATGATCGAACTGTCACTTTAAAAAAAATAACTTGTTTTTTTCGGCCCTTTCCGATTTGATTTTTGAAAGAAGATGGCCGTTGGGATTTAGCTCCGCATTGTGTTAAATAGTGTTAAGTAATAATTAGTTTCCGAGCTTTTTGTTTTATCCAAGGGCCGCTGTGCCAATGTTTATGTTACTTTTATTTTGGATGAACCTGGTTTTTGACCAAAATCTGAGGCAGGTGAGACGCCGAGAGATACTTTCTTCCACGTGTTGCTGGATCCCGGTAGCAGAGAAAACCCTCAAAAGAGGTAAGTAATTTCCTTTGCTGCTCCTGCATTTTCTTTGTCTGGCAAAACACTCATATTTTAATATGTATAGCGTTCTTCCCGTGGATGAACAAGAGATTTCCTTTTTATTTTAAACGTTCTTACGATGGTCCCGTGCCCCAAGCAGTCCTGTAACATGATGAGCTTCGGTGTGAACTATGTAGCCTAAAAGAGGGCTCTTTCTAGTGCCGCTGTTAGACCTAGGATTGGTATTTTTTATTTTTTCTTTAATTTTAACAATATGTTCGCAATTTCTATTTAGACACTTATACTTATATTTTGAAACGGGTGTTTCTTTATTTTCTGTATGATTTAGTTTTAAAAATAGTTTTTGTTTCTTTTATTTACAACCAGTTTGTAAATATTATTTTGAGTACTCAAAACAATATACCTTAATTTTAACAAGACGTCTCGGATAGGTATAAATAACCCTTTTTTTTTATTATTCATATATTTCTCCAACTATAGGCGAATGAATTGAGAGGATATTCTCAATTACACCATTTCTATTGACTATAAATTTAACTGTTTAAAAATGAATTGAGTATTTTCAATTATATTGTTTCTACAGTTTATAAATTTAAATGTTGATAAGTGGATTGAAAAAAAATCCAATTGTATTACTTTTAGGGTTTGATTCATCAAATGAATTGGGTAAATATTGTTAATATATCATTATTTCTCTTTTGAACAAAGAACGTTTGTATAATTAAATGCTCATCGAAGAAATTAAGAAAATATTGTTATTATATCACTTTCATTTATTTTTCTATTAAATTCAATTTAAATTATGTATGACTTTTATTTCACAGAATATCATGATCATCTCTACAAGTGTTTATTTGCAGATTTATGTATTTATGGTTTAATTATTTAAATTTTATTTACTATGGTTTATGAATTTACCTTTAGATTTTAAAAACTTCTTTATCAAATAATACCAAATTTTTTAATCAATAAAAAATTCAGTGGCGTCCATCTATGGTTTAAATACTCTTTTTTTGTATTTTATTTAAGTGTATCTAAAGTCAATTTAAAATAATTAAATTTCAAGACAACAAATCCTTACTCACACCTTTATGCCACCGACGGTAGAGCTGCTGTGATGTATATAACCTAAACTCTTTGTCAAAAGAAAAAAATAGGTTACAAAGTTGATTATTGTTGAACTTTTTAAATTGTTTATTTTACCTTATACATTTTTTTTCTACTCTTCATATAGTATTATGTGAAGAGTATTATAGGTTTACTTTGTTTGTCTGTCCGATGTCACGTTTTTTGTCTGCACGATAAGTCAAAAACTAGAAATGATATGAACTTGAAAATTTTATTGATTTTTAACAAATCTGATTAAAAATAGGGGGTTAAGATGGGTTGAAATTAAAAAAAATCTTAAATTAAATTAAATTTTTAGTAAAAATGAAGCTTCATGAGAAGATAAAGCCTGTTGATACTAAAAAAATATGAATATATTGGGGAGTGAAGGGGGGTTAAAATATAAAAAAAAATCCTAACTGAAAAACTTGAAATTTTTAGCAAACATCAATCTCTAAAAGGAGAAGAAGCCCTTTCATTATTAAAAAAATCTGAGTGAATATGGGGGATTTAAGGGGAGTTGAAATTAAAACAAAAATCAAAAATGAAAAGCGATATCAACATGAAATTTTTAATAAAAATCAAGGTCTACAAGGAGATGAGGCCTATTGATTGTGAAAACAATCTGCCTAAAAATGGGGGTTAAGGGGGTCTGTTAAACTGCGAAGAGTATCATTTAAAATGCCAGGCATTATATATCTTTATTCTAGTTTGTGTGTGTGTAATATTAGGTATTGTGATGGGACTGATCTTATAAAATAAACATTTGAAACATTTTAGTTCTTATTTTATTTGCCAATAAAAGGTATTTAAAAAAAATATATTTTTTATTTGACATCTGTGACAAATTGTGAAAATGATTAAACTTACAATAAAAACTAAAAAATGGTAGGTAAAGTTTCATATAAAATTTTTTACACAAAAATCAATGTCACGCTTTCTACATGACCTGATATATATTTAAAAATAATCTCAAATTATGAAGAAAAGTCAGTTTACTAACTAATAATGTTTATAGATGGTTTTCAACGTATTAAAAACCAAACAAATATCACACTAATTAAAATATTCATTTATTAATAATTGTAGTGCTTGAAAACAGTATGATGTTAATAATAATAACTACACGTAATACAAACTCAAATAATAAAAAAACAGCGATATTGACTTTTGTACAAAGTTTTGATCCGAACTTACAAATGATAAAATTATTGGAAAAAGTGAACACCCATTTTAAATTACCACGAGCCGCCACTGATAAGCAGTAGTACGAGCTAGAATAGTGGGTTTTAAAATGTAGTAAACAAATTAAATGATTGGTATAGTTATGTGGAATTTACTTTTCTATAAAGTTATCAAATATATTAAGTACTCATCTAATCGAATAGAATTTATAACATGAATTAAAGATGATAATTTTCCACTCATATTTTATTTGAAGCACTTTTTCCTACGGCCACTTACGAAAGTGACACATATCAATCTCACTATTTAGTCTTATGGGAAGTGCCTTATATCATACGCGTGTGAATAAGAACCTACTTTCCACTCTTGTGTGAATATGAATCTACTTTCCGAAAAAGCTCTCAAATATTTCAGACGCATCACGATACAGAAACTAACGGTATGCTGGCTTTCGATACAAAATTCGTCCTCACCCTCTCAGTGACGTAATGCGGGATAGACTTTCAAATTATTTTGATACTTTTCGATTGAATAGTGTAAACTAATTTAAAAATGTATTACTGAGGCCCTTTCTATGGGGCCTCAGTATTTCATTCGTGCAGACGAAAAAATTTTCTTGTCCCCATTTTTTAAAACTACTTTTCATATCATCTGCTTGAATTTGAATTAGTTCCATTTGAAAAGACGTAGCCGCATGTTCAACGTTCACAGTAAACCGATTTAAGTAACCAATTACGTCAACCAAAGGTGCTAAATTAGAGAGCCACGCATCAGTTTTTAAGTGTAGGACCAGTTTGGGTTTTCCTTTCATCTCCATAAAAGCTTTCACTTTTTCTCCTTACTCGTAAAACCGTATCAACATCTTGCATTTGCTGAGCCAGTGAATTTCACAATACAAAATTTAATCCCCATATTCGGCTTCCAAATCATGCAGAAACTGACAGTGGTTCAAACCTATTGATTTCACACAGGTAACATCACTTGCTTAAATTTTATTGTCAAAGATCTTTTTGTTGTATAATACAGTGCATCATTTTTTGCGTGACAATTGTTTTTATTTTTGCCACTACTCCTACATTTTTTCCTACCATTTTCTCTCCATCTGTGAATTCGCCCAGTCTTAATTGAATAAATTAAACACCTTCACAATCTCTTCAAATATATCTTCATCCTTTGTAGTAACCTTCATTGCTTGAAGTGCGAGCAATTCTTTAGTTATTGTGAAATTCCACCAATTGCCCTAATAAATATTGCTTGTTGCGCTGTATCACTAATATCAGTAGGTACTCTCGTCCAATGCTATTGATAATGAAACCCATTTTCTCACACTGTTGCTAAGCGTGCTATCCAATCTATTATTCGTCTTGTAACCGTTCTTCAGGACAAAGAGATCTGTTCAAATGTTTAACTAATTTCAGGACATAAAATATTTGTCACTTCTAGTAAGCACCCTTTCACAAATTCACCTTCTGAAAATGGCTTTGCATTTTTTGCCAATTTCTTATTAACAGCATAACTTGTTCGAACAAAACTCTCTGCGTCTACATTGCGTTTTAAAAAATGTTTTGCTGACCAGCTAAATTTCTTTTTAGTTTTTTAATCTTGTTACTTCTTAACTGGCTTGTTAACTTATCATATTTTGCCAAATGCTTCGTTGAGTAATATCTCCTTAAATTGTATTCTTTAAAACAGCAACTGCTTCATTACATATCAGACAAATAGTTTTTCCCTTTGTTTTAACTATTTAAGTTGATATTTAATCATTTTATGGAAACATCTCAGATTGTATGCGCTTACCACTAATTTTATTTAAGAAAGTAAACGTTATGTTTTTATACTGGTTTAACGCCAGTTTTTTTCCCTTTACTTGTAGTCCTCATTATGGCCTGAGGTCGAAACCTGTTATCATTTTAACTTGTTAATGAAATTTATTTATGTGGGATTGATTTTGAGTCATTGTCTTACCTGTTAAAAGCATGTTCGACTTCAAAGTTTTTGTGATGCTGATCGAATAGGAAGAAATTCGGTGATTCTTCGCTATCGATTTCTCCTATACCACCTAGAAGGTAACCAACACATGTATCTTCGTCCGCTATGATGGCAATGAGGTACCTGGCGGAAACTACTGAGGATGAAACCGATTCGCTTTCTGATATTTTGTCGCTGCGAAGTTCGCCAGGTTCTTCCTCTTTAATGTCGTACAATACGGTGCTGTGCATTTGGAAAATGGGTTTATTTTTACTAATTTCTCTAATAATTACATGATAAATTTAGTTTACTGTTTGGCAGACGTCAAAAATTTGATTCCACGGTTAATATTGTCTTCTTTTTCTTCTTCTTAGTTAGGAACACGGTGTAACTATAAGTTGTTTCAACTTACAAAAAAAAAACATTATAATAAGGATAAATGTAAGAATCCGCTAGGTTCGCTAGTATATTATGCAGGTTAATTTAGCCTTTAGTAAATGAAAGTATACTTAAGTAGCCTGCGGCTGTTATAAAGTGTTGTTATAAGTAAAAGTACAAATAGAAAATTAGAAAATTAAAGTTGTTCCACCGACATTGCCCCAGAAGCTATAGATTAGGTCATTCACTTTATAAAAGAGTCTAAATTCAGGAAAAATAAGTTATGCTAAAGTTAATAGGTAAATTTAAAAATGTCTGTTTGTAGAAAATATTTATGGCACATATCTTTTTGGAGATTATTAAAAGATATAAAATTCCACAAACTCTTTAAAAACATGTTGAAAGTTTATTGAGAAGTTTGTTAATTTACAGAGGGGGTTATTCTCTCATTTTCAGCTGAAAACAAAGCTCCAAGCATCACCAAAACGACAAACATGCGATTATGGTATTCTCTAATGCTAGACGATTTTGCTAATCGTGATTTTAATTTTTGTTTTAAGCTGTCATAATTATAAATCGTAAATGCTGATTGGTCCAAATATCTAAGGTTAGGATTTGAATGTCATTTTGATATTATAATTATAAACTTTATTAGAATATATTAATATTCAAGTCATAATATTTAGGTATTATATTTTAATGTTTGACTTATGTACGTCCGAAAATCTTTGACTTATATGACAAAACCGCTATTCATGTATAACTTTTTTAAAAGCACTACTTTTTTCAAATACGAACAGCACAGTAAGTAGAGAATACCAAAACATTTGTGCTTTACACATTTGTTACTTGTTAGTGACGTTTCTAGATAAACACGCTCCCCTGATTAATTCAGCGAAGCAGAAGAAGGTTTCAATTTTATACTTATTTTATTTATAATTACCACTTTTGATACTTTTATATTGTATTTTTTTATTTATTTTATATTGGATTTTCATATTTAATTCTTGAATTGTTTTTAAATTATTATATCATTTACGTTAATTGTATGTTTATACATTTTTGGATGAAGCTTTATTGAGTTTTATACAGGGTGATCCATTAGGGTGAAAAAGTTCAATATCTCTGCCATTTTTAGAGATATAAAAAATATTTATTGTTTAATAACTTCTCTCAGGAAAAACTTATGTTCTTTTTAATGGATCACTCTGTATTTTATTTTATATTTGAATTACCCTCGTTTTTCCCACTCTAAAAATATAAATTATTATTGGTTATACAGGGTATTTTGCAAGATATAATCAGTTTTGTATGAAAATCGTATTGAATTCAATGACCTATATCATGCAAAAGAAACAATTGACAACCAATTTTTTTTCTACCATAATTTTTCGATCATGGTCAAATTTTATCCGCATCAAATCTGTACAGAGTGGTCGAAAGACAAATACATAATTTTCTCAATTTTTTTAAATGGTTCACCCTGTATTTTATATCATCGTTCATAAGTATTCTAATTACATTTAAATTTGACTTAAGCCTTCCCTATACCAAAAGTTAATAGTTTTTAGAGATTTTTAAATTTTAGTAAAAACGATAATTCAGAAAATAATTGATTGGAAATATATTTTATTTATCATTAGTAATTAATTGAATTTAACATGAAGTAATTATTTATTATCGAATATGTTGACTTTGAAAACCCCACATAAAAAATGAAAGTATGTGGAAAACCCCCAATACTGACAAATTGTTATTATTAATGTCATTAGTGTTGCATTATTTGTTTTCTACAAAGTCTCTTAATATGAATTATAGTAGTGAAGAATTAGTTGATATGGTATGGATTTTGGGAAAATGCAATAAAAACTCTTTGTCAGTAACTAGAGTTTATAAAGAACGATTTCCAGAGCGTAGAATGCCAAATAAAACATCGTTTGAAAAACTGGATTGATTTAACCTAACAAGGTCAGTTTCATATGAGAAAATTGATAGAACAAAAACTGTTACTAAAGTGGAAAATAAACTAAATGTTTTGTTAGCCGGTACCGAAAATCCGCATACAAGTATAAGAAATATTTCAAGAGAGCAGGAAATAAGTTATACGTCAGTACAGAGAATACTTTCCAAAAATAAAATGCATCCGTATCATATGCAACTACATCAAGAACTCACTATAATGGATTTTGAACACATGGTAACTTTTTGTGAATGGTCACAACAAAAAATTACTGAACGAAGAGATTATTTTGAGTACGTGCTTTTTGGAGATGAGGCAACTTTTCATCGAAATGGCTGTGTCAATAGGCACAAATTTCATTATTATTCCACTTCTAATCCATACCATATAATCACTCACAGTCAGGAAAGGTGGTCTTTAAATGTTTGGGGTGGCATTATCGGTGAGTACGTGATAGGACCTCATTTTTTTAACGAACCTGTAAATGGGAGATTGTACTTAGACTTTCTAGTGAATTCTTTACCAATATTGCTTGAAGATCTTCCTCTTGAAGTACGCCGAAATATGTGGTATTAACATGATGGTGCTCCTGCTCACAATAACGCTCTTGTAAATGGTGAACTTGCAGATCAATTTCCAGGAAGATGGATAGGAAGAGGCTGGCCAATCCGTTGACCAGCCCGGTCACCAGATTTAACTAAAATGGACTTTTTTTCTCGGGCTACGTTAAGGCTATAGTGTATAAAATACCTCCAACTACAGTAGATAATATGAAAATACGAGTAAGAGAGGCATTTCAAAGTGTTACTGTGGAAATGCTTAGAAATGTGAGTCGGAACTTTGAAAACCGTTTTCAGGCCTGCATAAATATTATGGGAGGCCACTTTGAACAACTGTTCTTATTAAATATAATTTGCAAAAATTACATTTAAATAATAAAATATGAATTTGTACTAGCTATTGATATTTATTCTTTCTTAATGTAAAAATCGATAATAAATTACAGCTGGTTAAATTGTAATAATTACTAATTATCAAATCCGATGCCAACCCCCACCTAACACACACAACACATACTAATTATCAAACAGAATGTATTTTCTATCGATTAGTTTCTGAATGATTGTTTTTACCACTAAAATTTAAAAATCTCTAAAAACTATTAACTTTTGGTATAGGAAATGCTTAAGTCAAATTAAAGTATAATTAGGATAATTTTGAACAATGATTTAAAATACAGGGTGAACCATTCAAAAAAATTTAGAAAAATATGTATTTATGTTTTGATTCACCCTGTACAGATTTGATGCGAATTAAAAAAAGTAGTGTCTCTGGTTAAAATTTGACCATGATTGAAAAATTGTGGTAGAAAAAAAATTGGTTATCAATGGTTTCTGTTGCATGATATAGGTCATTGAATTCAAAACGATTTTCATACAAAACTGATTATATCCTGCAAAATACCCTGTATAAACCAATAATAATGTATATTTTTAGAATGGGAAAAGCGAGGGCAATTCAAATATAAAATAAAATACAGGGTGATCCATTAAAAAGAACATAATTTAGTTCCAGAGGGAAGTTATTAAACACCCTGTATATTCAAAAATAATTTTAAAATATGTGGTTTAACGCTGTCTACCGTTCTGTGAAAATATTTTTTTATATCTCTAATAATGGCGGAGATATTGGACTTTTTCACACTAAAAATTCTTATTACACACAAGTTGTACCTAGATAAATCGTTGGTTTACAAGCAAAACACACTAAGTATTTTTTTATATTTTTGACTTATTTAGATCAGTTGACTGGATTTCTTTCATTCTATATACTGGTAAAATCCACTATGTCCTCTAACAATTGTAACCTTATTTTCATATTCATTAAGTCCATAATAGAATTAATTGACTTAATGGATTTTTCATCAAATCTGACTTAGTGTGTTTTGCTTTACTTATCTATATTTCATTTGTTTATCTAAGATTATTACTCACTAGCTATATCGTTTTGTGATTTTTTTTCTACTGGGCTCATCTGACTATGTCTCCGAATAACACTGAAGCCTATTGGCTTATTGCGTTTTACCAACTGATCTGTAAATACAGATCAGTGGTTTTACCCCATGTCAGTTCATAGCACCCACTCTGTCACCGTTGTACCTTGTACAAGTTTGTACAGATCCTTGGGTGAGTGGGTTCTATACGTTGTTGGATGATCCTGGGGTTGTCCAAAAAGAGCCTGTCTTTTGCGATCTAGAACTTCGCATTCGCACAGTGTGTTTGGCCGTTTCTGGTTTCTTGTGACATAGTCAGCACATGAGTTCTCCATTGTACATGCCAATTTTGTTCAAGTGTCTCTTTACTGGGGCGTGCCCAGTCATGAACGCTGTTATCACTTTCTACTGGTTCCTATTCGTTTTCTGATAAAATTGATGTAAGCACATTGTATATTAGCGTTTTCGACTGGTGAAACTGGTGCGTACTTTTTAACACTCTGTGCAAAATTTGTTTTCGACTCGTAAGAGCAGTGCGAACCAGGTCAGTTTTTGAATTTTCGGTTGGAATCAGTTGAACTCAAAAAAATAAAGTGCGCACTTTTGTGAACCGAGTTTAGAGAAAGGTTTTCAGTTTCAGTTTAGTCGTAATAAATATGGCGATGGCAAACGAAGAGTTGTTTCTAAAATATGTAATTTCTTCAGAATTTGTAAAGAAATATTGGAAACCTTCATCAGATTCAGACGAAGAAGATTTAATTAAGGTCAAGTTTAATAAAACTAAATTGCCAAAAATAAAAAAATACATTGAATCGGTGGGGTCGCACCTGGATAACTTCCAAGTAGGTACCCATAAATATTCTTGTAAGTCCTGTATATGCATAGTATACGTTGACATCTTAAGAACTTATACATAAGTAAGTTTATGTTAATCTGTTGATAAAATATTCTATAACAATATTAAATAAATGTTTAAAATAAAACCTTGGCTTGGATCTTGTTTGGAATTTGCAAGGTATTACTTCTACTTATCCCTCAGATGATAGCGGTCAAATACAATACAATGCACTGAGTGT